AAACAAGTCTGGGGACACAGAAAGACCTTTGCTCCTCTCCAGTTCAAACCATCCCTGCATTTCTTCCCCATCCCGTGACTGAGCGGCATGTGAACTCAGGCTGAGAACCCCTCCTCTGCGGTCCCCAAATTCATCCCATGTACCCCTTCAGGATCCACCTCACACCCAGCACAGGAAGGAGAACCCCTCCCGCTCTGCTGTGTTCATGCTGAGGGGTCTGGCTGGCATCCTGCACCTGCCCTTCACAGGGGCCCCTAAGCAAGAAGGAGAAGGCACCCTGTCCCCTGCCTTTCCCATTCCCAAGCTCTTCTCTAATCTGTCCAGGTGCTGCCCACGGATGACTGTGGCAGCTTTGGCAAGACTGCGGGCTAGTCCCAGCTCTGCACGGCCCAAGTCCCCCAACTTCTCTGGGCCTCTGAAACAGTGGTTGGGGCAAACATGGGCACCGGAGTTCTCTGATCAAGTCAACAAGCACGTCCTTCTCAACTACAGTCAATTCACACTGCCTTTTACCAACAGCATTTATACGGAGAGGCCTCACGTCCCGCAGCGCAGCTCAGTTAATCGCCCCACATCGAAAGCTCTACACGGTCCCTAACAACATCCCCACCTGTGCTTAGAATGCTGAAAACTCACGCTGCACTAGTAACTTTCTGGGGTCACCCCTCTCCCCTCTCCTTAGCACTAACATAAGCTCAGCCACTGTTTGTCCCTGAGTACACAGGGATTGTTTTGCAATCCCGCTCTCCTTCAGAAAACTGTGATTTCAGGTAATGCTGCCAAATCTCAGGTTTCATTCTGAGTCGCAGGGCTTTGAAGCACTTCCTTTTCCAGTAAAGTTGTTTCTTTTCAAAAACATGTTTTAGCAGCAGCTTGGGGTGACTGACCCTAAAACTCAACTACAAGAAGGACTCCCAGGTTCTGGGCTTGGCCCTGGGACCTTCTACTGTGTGACTTTAGACCAGCTCTAGTGCCACCTATGAAAAGCAAGAAAAGGATTTATTTCAGGCTGGAGGTAATGTGAGAGCACCTATAGGGGACTGTGTGGGGCTTCTTTTACTACCAGACTGGTATCTTTTCTTTGTGATGTCCCTTCCCCCCCCAAAAAAAATTTGGAAGTCGAACTCCAGATAGTCACAAATTTGACCTAAGGAAACTGAGAGCTGTCTATTTAGGTATCAGCACAGCACTATAAAATATCATTTTATTACAGTTAATGAATGGTTTGGGGCTTTGCCTTTTTCAGGCGCCAGGAAAAACAGAGCACCAGCTCACTCGTAACTGTAAATCAAAGGCTGAGAATACACCTGGACGTGGGCAAGGCCATTATCACTGGGTCTGCTCCAGCCCAACTGCAGAAGTGATAGGAACGGGCTTCTGACCTGTGGTTACATCTGGCAATCTAGAATGAAGTTCAATACAGGTGATTTACAGGCCAGTACCTCGGACTGAAGCCAAAGGTTCACTCCAGCCCCCTCCCACATACCGCTAACCCACATGCACACAGTGCTGATTAGTGACAAGGGGGAGACAGGGTCCCCGTCACTCTGTGAGAGCATCTGTGACAACCACTAAGTATTCTCATTCCTTAACACGGAGAAAAGATGGTGTGTGCAGGGGAGACACCAGCACTGGAGGTTCCACACAGGAGCCACCTCCATGCAGAATGCAGTTACACACATGGCCTTGGATAAGCTGCTCCTTTGTGCCTCCGTTTCTCCATCTGTGAAACTGGAGAGATTAAGAGGGAGGGAGGATTCTACTGACTACCCACTGCGTTACTCTACATGAACTGAAATTTAAAAAAAAAAAAAAATCAGAGATGCCTATGTTTTTCCAGGACCTGGAAAGCATTTTGCTTTGGTCCATAAAACATACAGAGAACACTGGGCTATTCCTCTCGGGCTGTGTTGTAATTAAAAGAGGTTCATAATGTATCTGAACAAAAGGGAACGGAGCTTTCTGATCGCATCGCGCTGATAACCATAAGCAGTTCACAGCAAGGTAAGGAGGTGCATTTTGGCGGAAGCCAGCATCGCATTTGATGTATTCTTAACTCAGCCAACAGGCAGGCTTTCAAGCCATCTTATCTGCCCCCACATCTCGACCTAATTTAACAAGTTGCCAAGGGAGCCTGCTGAAGGTTGATGCAATTGTCTTATCTCAGGAGGGAGACTGTAACTGCACGACAATGAAAAGTCCGCTTCTGCCTGATCTCCACCCGCACAGAGCAGGGACTGAGAAGCACATGGGGAAGTAAGGTGCTCCCTGGGAGCTGAGACGGGCAGAGGCGGGTGCTCCTGAGAGCAGAGGGGCCTGGAAGACAGACCCTCTCCCAGGCTCGGAGAGCATCCACCCGCTAGTGCCCTGGGGCTGACTAGCGGAGACAGGAAGGCACAGGCTCCTGCCATGGCTGCAGGTACCCTGGAGCTATCAAATTGTGAGGGAACAGACAGAAAAGGAGGGAAGGACTTGGGAGGGAAAATAAACGTGCCCTGTCTAAGCAGTAGACAGTGACTCCACTCTCCCAAATTTCAGCTTCTCTTAAACTGTCCACATTAAGCCAGATACCCATTTCTAGGCACTGTGGTGATCACCTTGGGTGGTGGTCAAGGCTGAATGGACACGCCCCTTCCTCATCACCCAGGACACGCCCAAAAGGAGAAGGGGCTGCAGTGAGGGTGGAGGTGGGGAAGGGCACACAAGGCCAGTTCACTGTGCACACAGGATGTTCACCAGGCACTGAGCACAGGCAAAGCCACCCTGGGGGCTGCTCACAAACCCAACCTTCATTCAGACCCCAACAATGAGAGCACCAGGCCAAGTTCAAGGACACTTCCAGCGTCTCAGGGCTACTGTCTCACCTGCCCTCAGCTCATGCTCAGACATCTGCTGAAGTAATTGAACTTTTCTAACAAGGGACTTTCTCCCTGCTTCTGGCATGTCTGGCACTGATTTGCTTAATTGCCTTAGTTCAATTACATCGTCAGAGTCTCCCACCATGAAGATAAGGATGAGCACCTCTACTTCACTAAAAGTAGAAAGGGGTACAAGGCAAATTTGCCTAAAATCACATAGTGTGTTAGAGCTGGGCGGGAACACGGGGGACTTCTGTTTTCGGGGCTATTGTTCTCACCGCCATTTGAGACAGTCTGAAAAGTCACGTGGCCAGTTAGAAAGAAGACATGATCAAAGGGTGCGACACTTCAGAAATTTTGTTTTGTTTTGTCTTTTTGGCCAGGGCCAGGTTTGAACCCACCACCTCCAGCATATGGGGCCAGTGCCCTACTCCTTTGAGCCACAGGCACCGCTCAAAAAATGTTTTTGAATTTAAATGACTACTTCAGTCTTTGAGACTTTTACCTGATAATCCCATCCCTTCTGTTTCACTGGCTGAATGTTTCACTAACTTATGTCTGAAGAAATAAAAACAGAGACAGAAGGGAGGGAGGGTGGTAATAAAGGCGGAGGAAGGGAGAGAAGAAGGAGGGATGGACATCCATCCAGACAAGGGGCTGGTGACTTCAAACAGAACTCAGACCCAGCGCACAGCATCCCTGGCACCACCAAGCAGACCAGTGGGGATAAAGCCCACCTGTACCTCCCAAGGCCACAGTCATTTAAGAGCTTCCTTTCTCTCCTCCCCTTTCTTATCAGTATATCCAACTGGAGTCTACTTCCCAGGAACTGGTACTCCTGCATATCCTGCAGGAGATTTAATATGCTATTCCCTTCGCCAGGTAACTTTAATGGAAATGGATGAACTTCCCAATAACCCACTGTTCAGAACTGGGAAAGGATTCCCTTGAAATGAAATCCATTCCCACACATTAGCTATGTGCAAGCAAAGAGCAGGGGAATATTATAGAAAGAATAAAGTGGGACCCTTGAGGTTCCTTTCCTGGCCCTGACCCTGCTGCTACCCCCAACACACAGAAAGTAATTCCTGAGCACCACTCGTAGTGAACTTCAGAGGGGCTGTAAAGACCCACTCCTGGTCTCAGAAGGGGGGGGGTGGATTTTTCTAAGCATTCGAGCTGCAGGCAAAGGTTCATTGCTTTTCCTCGTAAAAAACTGAGGCTTCCCTGAACGCAAGAATGGGATCTAGCCTACTCTAGCCAGATAGTCAGTAGAAACAGAGATTTTGCTGTTTGTCTTCAAACAGGGTCCAGGGTGGAGGGAATTCTAAGAGAACAAAGCCCTACAGACACCTGAGTAACCAAAGCTTAAAATAAGGTCCATCACAGCACACTTGCTAATCTGTGGAAAGGGCTAGGACCGAGGGATCTGGCTGTTAGTGTATCGCTGCTCTTGGGAGTGTCTCAGACACAGTCATCCAAGGCTTCCCAGCATAGGCAGATGTGCTGCAACCCAATCTGAGCAATGAAACATCCTTCTCTAGTCCCAGAGTCTCCATCAGAACTCAAGCGCTCATCTTTCTTCTCTATGATCCCTTTTCACTCATCACTACTGGAAGAAAACTCATCGGAAAGCTAAAAAAGAAAACTGTCTCCTACACAGGCCAGTATGGAGGTAGACAGGGCACAGGGCCACAGGACACACGGTCCCCAGGTCTGCACAGCTCGCCTTGTGCCACCTGCACCACAGGGGAGCCCGGTGTGTGTGCTGCTCAGCTCTGCCTGCAGGGGGCGCCGCGGCTGGGTCTGCCTCTTCACAAGGACCTCCCAGGAGCAGGCCAGGAACAGGCCCTTGATGCCAGGCGGCAGTGCAGTTTCCAGGAACACCAAAGCGTTACAGTTCCCTTCCCCCAGACATGGAAAATGATCCGAAATGTAAGCTTCCTACCATTCTTGGAAATGATTCGTTGGGATAGAATGATACTATTTGCTTCCAAAAAATCAATGGCTTTTCACAAGCAGCATAGCCTGAAAGACTAGAGACCTCTTAGAGACTTCTCCCCACCACCCCCCAAGGGAAAGAGGCTGTCCTTTGGTCTCTGGAGCACATATGGGCAGAGGCTGCCCGCTGGAGCCGCCTACCTGTGTAGCCAGCCAGGGCAGCAGCAGGGATGACAGGCTTGTCCTTGTTGAGGTCAGCACGGTCCCGCACATAGTCCTTGAAGGTGCCCTTGGGCTTGTGATTGGGCAGGGCAGCCGGGTAGTCCTCGGAGTCGAAGCTTTCATAGGAGGGGACGCGCTGCAGACTGTTGAAGGACGACTGGCTGCCCCAGGACTGGATGAGGCGGTCACAGCTGTCGTAGCTCTCTATGCTCTCAAAAGAGTCCTGGCCCCCGAGTTTACCTGGAGGGGGAGGAGGAGGTGGGAGGGGGACAAGGGAGGAGGGATTGGGAAAAAACAGCTGTAAAATCCCTATATGGAGGGCAGACTGCTGATGAGCTCTGCGGAGGGATGGAGGAGGGGAGGCCAGTAGGAATGGAAGCTCCAGGGGTCACAGGTTTACTCGGGGAAGGGGCCGCACTAGGCCACAGGCTGAGAACCCACCGCCACTCTGCTGGTGGTACAGCTCCCAGCACAGAGACTCTGAGTCAGAGGCTGCTCATAGCGGCCAGGGAGACACGACAGTGTTCAGAACCTCAGGAATTCCAACGTCAAAAATCTAAAAGCTGAGAATCACACACGTTATTATGGGATTTCTGGCTGAGGTACGGGGGCCAATGAATTAAATGAAGAAGTTGGAGCCCTGTCAGGCTGAATTCCCTATTCCAGCTCAGGCCAATGAGATGATTTCAAAAGGCCCAATTTGGCAAAATATTTTGGTCATAAGAAAAAAAAAATTCCATTAGACTAAGAGCAGATTAGCCTTTTTTGACCTTGGAACTAAAGTGTTATTATTTTAGCATTTTTCCCAAATACTGTTTTAAACTGAAATACAAGTACTGCCTCTATGCCTTCTCGAATAGAGTAAGAAGTTGTGAAATGCTTTTTGTAAGACATTTAAAAAAAACACCATCACTATGCTAAACCATATTCTTTATCCTCTCCAAGCAAAATTCTGAATTGAAATGTATACTTTACTGGAAAAGTGTGGGCAATAAAAACAAGAAGACGACAAAGTTGATTAAAGGGTTAAGGTCCGCAGCAGCGTCAGAAATCTTTACTCTGTGCATTGCTTAAGGCATTCGTAACTGACCACAAGATCATGCAAGTTCATTAATTTCCCAAACCAGGTTATAAACAGCTGCTATGATTGCACAATAGCTCCCGGAGAAATTTCCACTGGCAAAAATGCCACTAAAAAGGAGACTAACAAAAAAAAAAAATTAAAGGAAAACAAAATGCATCAAAGAGTTTAAAAAGCTCACAGGAATGATCTCCACCTTCTACTTTCAGATTCTTTTCAGGTAACCCTAAATTAAATCAGGGGAGACTAGCTGGCCACCTTCACGCAGCACAAAGCAAGAGGCAAAAGGATGTGACAAATATCTATGGAGAAATATCTGTGAGTCCACTGTCAATTACTCAGGGGTGGCTGATCTATAAATTTCAAATTCCAGAATAGCACTGGCTTATACAACCTCACATTAGTAAGCTTCCGGAGTATTTTCCCTCCACAACACAGCAGACTTGTTAAAATAATAAAATCCAAAGATGAACATGTGCCAAACCCAAAATGAAATACATAGGAAAGTATGTTGCTCCCAAAATTATAAAGAAAATTCCATATAAAATGTATTCGGTCGACCACGTACTTTGCGTAATAATCCACCACTGTGGACTCTGGGTGCCTCCTTCCCCCACAGGGCTGGGATAAGGGAAAGGGCGGTATCGTCCAGTTGTCTCCTCCCTTCCTCCACTCCTCCACGCAGGGGAGGGTGATCCCTGGAAGGTGAGTTACAGAGCTGCACGGCTTTATCAGCCCTGCCCACCTGGTCTACAGCCACACTGGCCCCTCTTCATGATTAACACAAACAAAGGAATTGTCCCTTCCAGAAATTCACATTCAGTGACTCAGGAGAAAAGCCTACGGACTACATGCCGTAGCCTCTGTTTACGGGACAGGAATTTTTGTGGCATCTTATGACGAGATGTTTGTTCACACCAGCTCTTGATCCTAACAGCCATTTTTGCCAGAGACAAACTCAGGGAAAGCCTCAGAACAAGAATTTCTATTTTCATAAAGAACACCCCCTGAGCCACTGACAGGCAGAGTGCATGCTTTAGTCTCTCTGAAATGAGTCTCTCTCTCTCTCTCTCTCAGCCATTTTTAGACAGAGAGGGCAGGGAAGTTAGGTTTTCCACAAGCAGAAGTTAATATCCAAGAGGTCCCAAGAAGCCAGGGCACTCAACCAGGCCATAACCAGGATGGTGACCCCCAACCTGAGCTGCACGCAGGCCTGCTGAGAGCTGTGGTTTATAACAGCAGGCCGCCTCACTTTGGCTCCACTGCACAAGTCTACAGCTGGGAACTGTCACTGATGGGTATTTTCGCCAAAAATGGGTTGAATCCAACTGGATTAGATACTCAGCTATGCTGTGGCACTCACGCAGGGCAGCACTGTCTGCTCAGGGGTCCACCCTCCAGCCTTTCGGATCAATGCCTGGGAAGGTCCTCCCACAGCCCTCTGACTTCACCAGGCAGCCCTCAGCGCACTCAGAACAGCAGACGGGGTAGTCCCACGGCAGGCCATGGAACCAGCCAGCACAAAGACAGTCCTCAGAGCCCAGTAAGCAGGACACAGAAGCGCTTTGTACACTCCCAGGCAGTACGTGAATACCACACCATGGTTATTATTGGTAATAATCAGCTAACGGTAATGCTTTGGGTCTAGACCAATCACACCATCTCAGATTCAACCAGCCCTTGAAGTATGTCTTGTCTGTGGTGCTTCTAACAGGCAAAAAGCAGCCTTGCACAAAATGGTCTTCCCCTCAAGTTTTTGTGGCCTGAACTTAGAGGGAGGGAAGAAGAGTTGAGCCAGAAAGAAACACCTCCTGTCTCTTTGTAAGGGTCACTTGTGGTCCAGAGTCATTAATTTAGGGGTAGAAGGGTGGCAGAGACCAAACCCAAGAGCCAAGAACAGGAGAGGGAAGGAGGAGGTACAACCACACGAATGCAAAGCCAGGCACAGTTGTCAGCAATGGGACAGTGGATCTGCCCTAAGTCACAGCATGGCTGCGCCCAACACCCACACTCAGCCTCACTGCATACGTCTGAAAAAGTTGTTCTAATGCTTTGACCTGCCTGAAAACAACAACAACAAAAAAAGACACACACATACATACACTTGTGCATAGATATTTAAATAGACACGCTCCTAAAAATAAAAAAGACTCAGAAAGGGGAAGACCGCTGGTCCCACCCATCCCCTCTGGTCTGAAGCATTGACACCCTGGGGCCTTATGGAGGAAGATTATAGGCCCCAACTCTGCAGGGACTTTCCCTGTGCAGGGCCTGTGGGTTATCCCCAGGCTGGCTGGCAAGAAGCGTGACCTGGATACTGGAGCAAGGTGACAATGTGCATGGCCCATGATGCATCAGGGGCCTCTGGGTTCTTGCTCACTGCAGAGAAATCACTAACAGGCCAGCCCAATCTTCACTTCCAGGACCAGAGGCCTCAGACCACCACTCCAATCAGCTCCTTGTACAGGTTGCAATTCTTTCCCATTGATCAGAAGTCATCTTTTTCAACTTTTTAGAAATCAGTGAGTTCTTGCAACAGACAACTTGTTCTCAAGCATCAAAACAATCTGGACACTTTACTAGGTAGGCTGGACCTACCTAGTGAGTGTTTATGTGTTATGCTTTAAGTCAGCCAGCTCTATTCTGAAGCATTTACTTCACCATCGGTGAATATTTTATCATTATAATAATGGTTACGTTAACAGGGGCACCTTCTTTTGGAAACCTCTGGCCACCTCTTTCCCTGGGTCCTCTAGCTAAATACATACTTTAACCACACTGCTGATGACCAGTTCCAAATAAGCCACTGGTTAACCAGCCTGTATCTTCCCAAACCGAAGAAGTCACAGGAGGCTAAAGTTCCTAAGCACAGCAGCAGAGGTCATCCCAGGTACCAAGCCAGGATCTACAGTGGGACCAGGATACTCTGGGAGGGAGACCAGGGCATTGCAAAGCTGAAGGTCTCCCAGGCTGGCCACCCACACCTTCGGGTTTGATTGCATCTTCCTCATCCCTTACGACCAAATTCAACTGGAGTTATCTGACATTTCATTGTCCATCCTGTCAGATTCAAATCCCCCCATACACCCCATGGTTTCTGTCATCATAATGGTTTTGGCTGAAATAACATAAGGGAAAGTTCTTAATACAAAAAACATTCTCAGACAGGAGGGCAGAAATCGCATAATCTATAGGTCCAGTGAGTGAGGGGAAAAAGTGGGGCCTGAAAAACCCAAAAAGTAGGTAATTCGTGCAAACTCAACTGCTTTCCAAGAAGAAATCTGACCTACCACGACTGGCCCTGCCCAGGCACATGTTGTCTGGGGTTACGACTTCTTGTTTGATGGCAAAGTAGTCAGTCTGCAAGGTGTCCGTCTGGAGAGGGTCCCGGAGAATGACTGAGGGGTAGTCGTTCTCATACTTGAGGGAGAGGAGTTCTTCCGAGCTGATGGGATGGAGTGTCTGGTAAGACTCTGTGATGAAGCTGGGCTCTGAGAACTCAGACGGGGGCACACACTGAGCGTGTTCAACACCGTAGCCTGGAACAGAGAGAGTTTGCCATGGGAGAGGAGAAAGGTTTGCCGCTAAAACAAGCAGCTCCTCACCACCTACAGTGACCTCACGATGTGGAACAAACTGGCTACCATGGAGAAAAAAGGAAAGTAAGTCTAAAGGGCTTGGGTTTTAACTTTGCTTTATGACTTAATGCAATGGCCCTTGACAAAACAAATCCCTTTTCTGACTTAAATTCGTCATCTATAAGATGGGGATGAATTGCCAATGAGCGTACAGGGAAATTTCCCACCAACGCTTCTAGTACAGTCAGCTCTGAAACACAGTGCTGGATATGGCTGTGTTATTGCAATAAAAATAATAAAGTAAACAGATAAAGTGCAAATAAACCCCGTAAAGGCTCCCTTTAGATAAGACAGCCCCCCATCCAAGGGCTTCCACTGGTGTCACAGCCCTGCTCGAATTCTCCCCCTCTGGCCACCGCTCAGGTACGGTTTCCTATAATAGAATTTGCAGGTGCGTGGTGCACGCCTAGACAGGGATTTCAGAGGAAATGCTATTCTCTCCACTAGAAAAAATGAATGAATGAAAGCCAAGCTGAAATCCCTGACCCCAGCCTGTGCCGGCCACCACAGTGCACAGTACCAAATGGTAATCAAAGGTTAGGGGTCAAGTTGCATTCTCTCTGGGTTGACTTTCAAGTTAAAGATACCAGAGAGAGACCCTCGCATGTAGGAACTTGCACATCAGTCAAACATGCGAATAAGTTGCAACCTTTTGTTTTGTGGATGATACATAACTAGGAAGAGTCCACAACTAAGAAAATATTATTTTCCACACAACTACCATGGATGAGCCTTAGGTAGGGGATCTGTCCAAGTTTTCTGTTACAATGGGAAAAGGGAGGGAAGAGGAACTTACTAATGAAGTAATCCGAAGTGTAACGGGACTCTGGATAGGTAGGGTTGACTCCGTTAACTTGATATGGCTTCACATCCTCTGCAACAGACAGGGCAGGCAACACAACAGGGAGGTGAAAACCCAAGAGCGCTTGGATGAGAAGGATCCTGGACGCGAGGACCACAATGATCTCAACCCCTTTTCTAAGAAATCCGCGTGCTCATTAAGTGAGTTGGTGTCTGCGTCTACCCTGACTGGGGCCTTGTCTAGGGATGAGATCACAAAAATATGGCTAAGTTTATTATTTCAGTAGCTTCAAAATGGGATTGAATATCTTGGAAAGAGAATCAGTGAGTAATGACTAAGAGCTGGGAGAGAGCTCAGACCTCACTCCCGATGTCTCCGTTCTATGCCACACTGGAATCAAAGGCAGGGGACGTCCCAGGAGGTTACCAAGATAAGTCCCCAACCCTCAAATCAATCCATTCCAAATCCTTTTAGAAGTGTAGTGCAATCTTTAGGCAGGGAGATTTTCTGTCCTCCACTTCCTCTAACAGATCTCTCTGCTTTGTCTTGTATTTTTTCCACTGCCCTCAGATTTCAAGTTCAGGCCCAGACAAGAAAGAAGCAGGACATGGGTAAGGTGACACCATCTGGTGAAATGTGGCCAGGCTTGTGTACAGGGAGAGAGGGACAACATAAGCAAATGACCGCCCAGATGCCAACTTCCCCAGGAAAGAGAGAAGAACGGAGATGGGGGTAACTAGAGATGCAAAGGCTCTCCATCCACTGTGGTGAGCTGGGGGTCCCTGAGTAGGTTCTAATCAACGCTGCAGCCTCCAATTCTCACACAGAGTAGTCTGGCTCTATTTCACTGTCAGACTAAGACATAAGGACAGAGTGTTGGTTTGGGCTTTTCCTCAGGTATTTGATAACTTGTTGGGAGTGCAGCCTAACAGGAAAACAAGTTTATGCCTGCACAGAAAAAACAGTTCCCAGTTGAGATAAGATGATTAAACTTTGCTTTAGCAGTTTATCAGATTGAAACATCCCCTGTGCTTCTGGCCTTCCACTCCACCCCACCCCAAACAGCTATGTTCTTTTGGTGCTATGCAGCTTTACTTTTAATTATAGAACAAAAGCTGCTGCCTCGGTATAAACACCCTGCTCGTCTCACCACGTGTCTGCCTCTGAAGAGGGCAGGTTCTCACTCCTTACCTCAACAGAACACGGGTGAGATGAGGGGACTTTGATTCTCTAGCATATTGGATCACATCCTAATTCTCTTACATTGCTCCTTGGCAGTAAGTGAAACCTGTCTCGGGGAGGAGAAGCTCTCCACGAGTCCACGTTATTACACAAAGTACATGGAACAGGAAGTTAAATTTATTTATTTATTTTTTTTTTTTTTTTTTTTTTTGAGACAGAGCCTCAAGCTGTCCCCCTGGGCAGAGTGCCGTGGCATCACAGGTCACAGCAACCTCCAACTCCTGGGCTCTAGCGAGTCTCCTGCCTCTGCCTCCCAAGTAGCTGGGACCACAGGCGCCCGCCACAACGCCCGGCCATTTTTTGGTTGCAGCCGTCATTGTTTTTTGGCGGGTCCGGGCTGGGGATTCGAACCCGCCACCTTAGGTGTATGTGGCTGGTGCCTTAGCCGGTTGAGCTATAGGCGCCGAGCCAGGAAGTTAAATTTAAAAAGATTCAGAAGCTACAAGTTTAAGGAAATGAGTTATATTGAGGAAATCACCTAACCTGAGCCTCCCTCAAAGTCAGCGGTTCTCAACCTGTGGGTCACGACCCACAGGAACTGTATTAAAGGGCCGCGGCATTAGGCAGGTTGAGAACCACTGCTTTAAGTGCTTGCCCTTCCCGATCTCACAGGGTTGTTTTGATAATCCAAAGACAAAGTGTGTCCTCTGGAAAGGAGACACTCCATAGGCATCGATTATAACTACAACAGAGACTGGCCCAGACACCCCAGAACACGTGGCAGCCCCACCGTGATAAACAGGAGCATTCTCTCAGAGCAGAATATATTTGGGTTGCACAGATGTTTAGAAGCCAACAGCCAACTCAGATCTGTTAGGAGACCACCTATGTTTTCCCGCTACAAACAGGTGGCTCGTGTCAACACCTCTCCGTGGGCGTGTGTGCAGTTCACGGGGACAGGCTGGTGCTTCAGGGAGGCTGTGAAGCTGCCTGCCAGCCCGCAGTCACAGCTGCCACACGAGATTCACCTGGCTCTTTGCTGTGTTTATGTATTTGATATTTTTCAGCAGAAATTGAAGAAAAGGAATAAAGATGAACACTTCTGAACCTAGAGGAACCTACTTTGGGTCCTTTGGGCACAGGGCAGAGTAGAAATGATTCCCAGACAAAGGAAGGTATTGTAGGGACAGCAGGGCTAAGCCCACATTTTGCTCCCCTCCCCCGAGTCTGTGCCAGGGGTGGGAGCTGCTGACCACACGGACAGGGTGGGCCTGGGTCAGAGAGGCCAATGGGCTTCTAGGCTTACAGTCAGCTTGAGGGCACTGCTGACTGCTGGTAACTGCAATTTATTTTAAGAAGAAACTCAGAAAAATAAGTGCAAAAACACCCAAGTTTGCCTCCTGCTGTTGTTTCTATACTCAGCCAGGACTGTGGTACATGAGTCACTCTGTCCAAAAAGGTTGGACGAGGCTGGTAGGGGAGGCCATGTCATTACAAGGTTGCAACACAGTGTCCTGATATAACCCCGGTGCTGCTCCAGCTGTGAAAGGTGTGCACCATTGCCGCGATTCCTACCCGGAGTTATTAATACTCCCTGAGAAGCTAAGCTTTCCTGTGGATGTGGCCCAGAATTACGTGGCCGCAGATCAAGGAGTGTGTGTGATTGCTGGGGAAAAAAAAAAAAAAATACATTCTGGTGTTGGCTGTGGGCACTGCCTGTTCAAACAGAATGTTGGTCTGAGGTAAGAGCCAGATCAGAATTTTGCATACCCAGAAGTTTCAGGAGTGCAATATTGATGAAGATTAAAATCTAAACCCCCAATTCACAGAAGAAAAAGGAGCTCACAGGTAAGTAAGAGCACCTGCTACATGCTGGCACTATACTGGGCACACCCCACGGACCGTCCATGCAGATAGGACATCCCCAGAGAAAGGCCTTAACGTCCCACCTCTAGGCAACTTCCCGTAACAGCAACCCCACACGGCCCCTGCCTCACCCCATTTCCATGTATTTACCTTTCTGCAAGATCTCTAAATGTTCCCATAAGATGTCCCCAACAAAGTCTGGGGCCAGCTCGAGAAAGCAGTCTTTTCCCAGGGCACAGAGGGCTGCTCCATTCATGCAGAATTTCTGGAAGTCCACACCTTTCAGGCTGAACTCATTCACGGCCCACATCACCCAGTCTCGAACATGGGTTTCTGTCCACTGCCGAGGGTCTGAGGGAAGAGATCAGATAAAGATACAACAGGCCAGGCTCCACCTGAGCCTCAGAAAGGACGTGGGAGGACCTGGACCCTGCTGAGGAAGCTGCTCTCGTCACAGAATGGGCAAGTGCAGCCTGTCCTTACGCATCAGTGGGCGCTGCCCTGGCCCTCCTCCCCACCTGCAACATCCTCGCAGTCTCTGCTCGGCCTGCTAGGAGAGCGCTGCCATCAGCCAAAGGCAACACATGGTATCCTCGGCCCTCCACTCAGGCCACGGTTCCCATGCGTCCCCTCTCTCACTGCCTTATTCCCATTCAACTTGTTTAAAAGACCTGGACAAGGAAACAAGTGCCTTCTTTAATAACAATAATAACAGTGTAAAGTGTTTCCTTGAGACTGCACAGGCCTCTTCTCTGTACTGAACTCTTACAATGCACTTCAGACTGTTATTCTCAATTATTTTTATCTTAGCCAATTACGGTTAGTAATAATTGCTGCAATTAGTAATAGTAATGGCACTTGGTAATAACATTAGGTACCTGTATTACCCCAGGTCCCTGGCAAAGCCTATACCTATCATAGCCCTGCTTCAAAAGGCAGTGTCCTATAGAACAACACATACCCTTCACACGTGACCTGAGGTCTGACATGACCACGCCCACCAGTGGCCAACCCACCCTGAGGATACCAGGTTGTAGCGCCACATCACAGCTGTTCCAAGGGTGTCCCTTTGACCCTGCTCACTACTGCACAGGCTGCTAGAACTGGCCTAGGGACAGAATTGCTGTCACCCAACAGAAAGGTGCTCTTCCTGCCCCTGGCTGTGCAGGGAAAGCTTATTCCAGTCACTTTCCTTTCTGATAACTAGTCCTCTTATGTTCCCATATAAACCCTTTCAGATAAGAATACCCAAGGACACACATATTTTGCCAAAGTACATGTAAAAGAAAAGAGTAATCAGTAAATTCTAAGAAATGTAGCTCAGAGTTCATCCAGTGTGCCCCAGAGTGACCCTGAGACCGTGTTTCTCAAACTTATCTGCAGGTTGGAATTACTCTACAAGCTTCAAAAAGACTGATGCCACCAGTGATTAAGAGCTAATTGCTGTGGAAGTTTTCAAAGATCCAGAGGTGATTGTAATGTGTGGAGAAGCTTGGGGACCACTGTCCTAAGACCAGGATGGTGGGCACAGGCCTGGGAGGTGGAAAAGCAGGGACGTGTATGTTTAAGATTGTTCCAACAGACATCAGCAATGACCCCCAGGGGCCAATCCCAGGTGGTCAGTCTGCCATCCGCCTCCCACACTGCAGGTGAGGAAACGCCCCTTCCCTGGTGGTCAGGTCCCAGCCTCTCCTTCTCCACCTATAGAAACTTACCTTTTGGGATCCCCAGCCGCTGCTGCTCTTTGGTGAAACCACTGAAAGTAGCTTTTAATGCTTGAGACATCATTTCTTTGCTGCTTGGAGTTAATAGTGGGACATCTGCGCATTCCATATCTGTAAGAAAAGCCGCACATGAGAAACAGAAACTGCACAATCCCCACTCACAAAACACAGTAAGGCAGGGAGGTGCCACGGGGGGAGGAGGGGGTGCTGACATCCTCACCGGAGCAGGTGAAATTTAGGGGGCTTTCCACAACAGGTGAGGCCCCTTAAAGAAATCCTAGCTCTTGCCTAAAATGTCCTGCCTCCCTGGCAAACAAAGCATGCTTACTCTTCTGCACACCTCTGCTAGTTCACCACACCTTTCACACTCACTCCACCCCCCCTTTCACACTCACTCAGAGTATGAGTGTGACTGCGTTCTTTCAGCCACCTATGTAAAGGTAATAACAGTATCGATTCATTCAACAGATAATTATTTAGCACCTGCTGCGTGCAAGGAATTAGAGAAACGGCATTGAACAAGACAAAAACAGTTGCTGCCCTCAAAGAGCTAGGTATGGGATGCTTACAGTGGATTCAGTCTCTAAAAATCCATTTACACAAACACAACGTCCACGGGGGTTTCCAAGGGGAAGTGCAATGTGCGATGTTAACATGTTATAGGAATTCCTGCACCGCTGGAGGAATCGGGAAAGGACTCCCTGAGGAGAAGAGAGATGACTGACCTGAGATGTGAAGGGCTCAAAGGAGTTTAGGGAGAAGACTCCAGACCAGTGGTTCTCCAAGTGTGGTTGCCCAAAGCAGCTAACCCAACAGCAAAAATTGTTAAAATGCACATTTTCAGCCTTATTCCAGACCTACGAAATCAGAACTGCTGCAGTGAAGCCCAGAAATCTGTTAAAACAGAATCCAGGCAATCTGATGACCGATGACCACTAAAATTAGAAGGCCCTAGTCACAGACAAAGGGGATAGCATAAGTGACGGTCACAAGATAGCGGGGAAGCAGAGTGACCAAGGAGGCCAGCTGCTGGACATGAAGTTGAAGAGGTCAGCGGGGAGCTTGTGAAGGGATTACCCTCAGTGCAACAGAGCGCTGCTGCGAGTTTTACACAGACCTATGCCATGACCACGTTTTGCTCTAGAAGATCACCTTAGCTGTTACGTCAGGAATGGTCTAGGAGGTGGGTATGAATGGATGTGGGAAACCTTGCTAGAAAGTTATTGCCTTCATCATGGTAAGAGAGGACAGTGGCTTTGACTAAGAAGGCGGCGATGCAGGTGATATCAGCAAACGATATCTGAAGTGCACACAGAAGGTGAAATCTATAAAACCGATTTACGTAGGTGGTGAGCAGAGTGAGGTGCCAAAACCTGCCGGGTCACACACCCAGCGCCTTCCCTCCGCCATGCCAGCTCTGCTGCACCTGCCCCCCATCCTCACAGGGCCAGAACACAAACACGGCTGACGTCAAACATCTTCTCCGCTCACCTCAGGCACAATTCCACAAGCTAATAAGCACAGAAATGAGCAGAAGATCCCCACTGGTCCTGCTGCAGCCGCTTGGCAGTGGTACTATAGTCTGCTGAAGAGCAGCCTTGTAACCTGAACCCGCACTGTGGCCCACACAACTGACTTGTGACGGGCTGGGTTCCAGGAGAGGCTACTGCAGAAATCTCCACCCAGCCACTTCTGAACCTCACCTCGGCTAGTTCCAAAACTTCCCTGGACACACAGAATGTGTTACTGGTTGACTACAACGGAAACATACAAGGGAAAAGAGGACACTGGCTGCCTTCGGAAAAAAGGAGCAAAAACGTTGCCTCTGAATCTCAGAATGAATGGAAATCATACCACACAAGAGAATGAGAGGCAGCACTGTCCCTCCTGTTTGCTTGTCGTGAGGCTATCAGGAAACTGCGAGAGCCCAGGCTCTGCCCTGGAGAATGGGAGGGCTCCCCATGGCTCTCCAGGCCCTGCCAGTGGTGGGGAACCTGGAGTTCCAGGGAGTGGTGAGTTTGGGTTGCCCTGGAACACGGCCAAAAAAATCTAGTGGAAAAATCAACATGTCTCCAGGAAGGTTGACAAAATGATGGAAAATCCCAGATTGTTGGGGGGAAAAGAGTTGGGGGAGGGGACAGAGTGTTGATTACATAATGTCCAGCCCTTCAAACAATGGAGTGATCATGGAATGAGTCACAGAGAAACACACGGCTCCCCCCTCTCTCGGCTCTGCCGGGCCAAGACCAGCTCAGAGGCAGGTCCAGAACCGTCTTCCCTTGGAGTCGGTTTTGCTTTAGAGAAAGGGACTCTTCAGCTAGCTAGAGAGCTCTGCTGCTCAGAGAAGGGACAACTGCACCCCCTCACCCAGCCCCTAGCCCACGGCGCAACACACAAGTCCATCAGCAAATGTGGAGTGGATTAAATTTTTCCAAATTCGAACCAACCCTCCTCCCTTCCACTCTCATCCAACACAAATTCACAAACTTGAACTGTGTGGGTTTTGTTTTGTGTGTCTGTTCCCTCCATTAGATTTATGATTTGATGAAAAGGACTTCACTGATGGCGGAAATTGGCTGGGACAACAAGTGTGAGCCAGGCCAAGTGGACAAGGCGGTTCTGCTGCTGTGGGAACTGGAGGATGAGGCTGGGGAGGAGGCAGCATGGGCAGCGTGATGCCAGTGACTTGAGTGCCAAGGACGACAGCGGAAAGCCTGAGAAAGAAGGTCCCCAGGTCTGTTCCCATAACTCCACGCACTTCGGCAGCAAGCTCTGCTGAGCTGACAGTTCTCCTCACAAGTCTCTGCTTCCTGTCAGGGGGACGGCATTTCCAGGCTCCCACTTGTTCTCCTCCAGGGAAGCAGCTGGAATGACTTCTGCCTGCTCACCTCAATGCCAAGGCCAAAGCCCAGTCACGTGTCCCCACTGTATCCTCACAGGGGCCCAGGGGCGGTGGCAGGCTCTGAACCCACGTGGGGCACCTGCCTTTGGACATGATGCGCTCAGGAGGATTCAGATGGGGAAGTCAGAACTCCACCCATGTTTATTAAAAAAAACCCTCTGTAAGTAAGTGAACAACTGGCAAGGATTATCTTTTTCAGTGGTGTGAGAATTGCACTTAAATGATGCTGAATAATCATATTCAAAAGTGGCTATTAATAGACAATATTAAATTCATCATATAAAATACTGAAGTAAAAATCCCCCCATGTTGATTGCTTATGATTATAACAGTTCTGTTCATTACATTGATCAATAACAATAAGGAAATCCTTACACCAGTCTGAATCTGACATGGCTTAGCCGAAGGAGGCATCTCTGTTATTCTTAGAAGTTTTACCTCATTTCCTACTAGTGTATTTTTACATTGTGTACTAAATGTTTCTAATTTTAGGATCAGCATCTGGAAACCAATCAATACCTCCATAGAAGTTAACTAATTAATTGTCTGGAAAAACACTGAGAGTCCCTTTGACATAATAATTACAATATCTTAAATTCAAATACCCTGCTTGGCTCCAAATGCTGAGAACCTGACCTAGAGAAATACCATTGGCCATGAAGTAGGGGCTCTAAGCCAGTGATTTTTCAACCAGTGTGCTGGGAAAATTTTTAAAGATCATTAATTATTTTCAAAAAAAGTTCAAAGCACAGCAAGTATATTCCTTTTTTTTACTCTTTTTTTTTTTTGATCAATATAATTAAAAGTGTGCCACAGAAGTTTAACTACAGGTTCAAGAGTTCTGTGTGATTAAAAAAACATTAAGAAACACTGCTCTAAACACAATATGCCCTGGAAATCGAAGACATAATATGTTATATGAGATTTACTGCCCACTAAGTGTACCCCAGGACCCTAAATCTCAGCTCATATTTATAAGAATTACCCTAGATTTCTGGGAGGAAAGTTGTGTGAAGCTAACAGGTAGATAGATAACCGTCCCAAGACAGTACCGTACAAAGACACAGTAAGCAGGTAGCTTTCCTTGAATCAGTGGGGGATTACAAGCCAGCTGCATTTTGAATGCAGGGAGACATCTGCTCCTTTTTCATTGTGGCCTAACCCTGAACCACCTCGCAGATGTTTCAAGCGATGTGAGACAAGGGTTCACTGACATGTAATTCAAAGTTACCAACTGCTTAGTTTCCGAGAACCCTTGGAGGGTGCTTCACTTGTCCTTTCATTCCAGTCCTCCCAGTTCTTTGAAATTGAATGGCTCGAACCAACAATGTTACACAGGAACCTAACCCCAAGGTGTCTCCACAGCAAAAAGTTCAAAACATCTGCCCCCCACCACCCCACAAGTTTATGCTCTCACCACTCTCAACAAATAACACAGGGACACAGGAGCATCTGGGATCCCAGGGTAGGAGGATCTGGGATCCCAGGGTAGGTGGTGAGGACGACAGCCAGGAACAAGAAATCCAAGGTGCACGTCCAGTTGTGTGACCACTGGATTGGGCCAAACTCTAACAGATTACCATGACACGAGCCATGTGTGTTGGGAATCGTCACCGTGAAAGCCGCATGGGAGGAGCACCAGAACAAGCAGTGTGCCAGACATCTGAAAACTGCTTCAGAGCTTGCCAAGGTCAATGTCCTCCAGAATGGAACGTTGGAGCCTGGGAAGTTATTACAGGGTCAGCATTCTGTAGATCAGAAGACCAAAGCTCCAGGATGTCAAGAGCTTGACCTAACGTCACAAGGCCAGGAAGGGCCAGCAGGGTCTTCCCAGCCTGCCCGCTCTTAAAATCTACTACAGGACTTTCTACTCTCCGTCCCTGCAGATCGGAATGGGTCAGAGACCCAAGAAAACTCAAAACTCTCGGAGCTGAGGGAGAGAAAATGGGACTTTATTTCTTTAAAACTTAGATAAATTTGAGGAAATAATTAAATACTTCAATAAAACTATTCCAAGAAGCCCAGGGTTTCACATGGTTAGCCCCACAAGGGCATCGTGGACGACATTCACAGAATCGACTGTACCCTTTTCCTCTGCTGGACTCAAGGCGGTGAGGCTTTCTCCTCTCCATATGAAGGGAAGGAATTAAAGGGTCACCTGGCTTCCCTCCCTCCAGTGCCCCTGACACCCTACTGGGGAACTGTGATA